TTCTGGCCTCCTGGGTACCTGCACTCATGTGCACATATACACACATATACATAATCTTTAAAATAAAATATACCTGGGCCAGCAGGATGACTTGGCAGGTAAAGGCACTTTGCTGCCAAGCCTGACAACCTGAGTTCGATCCCCAGGACCCACAGGCAGAAGGTGAGATGATTCCTGCAAGTTGTCCTCTGACCTCTACATACACACACCCACACATACATAAAATAAATAAATGTAATAAAAAATTTTTAATGGAATACAGCTTTAAAAAAGAGGCTAGAGAGATGACTCAGCAGTTAAAAGCATTTAACTGCTCTTCTAGAGTACCTGGGTTTGATTCCCAGCACCCACATGGTGGTTAATAATCATCCATAACTTCAGCTCCAGGGGATCCAACTCCCTCTTCTGGCCTCCATGGGTTTTGTACAACACAAGTACACTTGCATACATCCTGGCAAAATAAATAAATAAAAAAGAGAAAATTACAGTCTTTTTTTGTTTTGCTTGTGGTAATGGAGGTTGAACCCGCACTTCATGTGCACAGATACACACCACGCACTCTACCACTGAGTCACATCTCCAGTCCCCTTAAATGAGCATTCTTAGAAACGAGCCAACCCCTCTATGATTTTGTTGGGGCTGAATAAAATCCCCCACACTTCCTTTGTCCAAGAAGGCCTGCTGTGGAAATAAGCAGCATGCCGTCCTCAGCTGCTGCAGGGAAAAAATCTCTCTCCAGTCTTTCATACCCTAGTTGTACTAATTTTGATTGCACTCAACAAGATGTGGACACATTGCATTCAACGGCATAAGGATGTGTTACATCTTTCCAAATATCCCTTTCATTGCATGGTTGAAATACTGATACCTCATACTTTTTTAACTTTTTTAATTTTATTATTTTTATTTTGTGTGTATGTGTGTATTGTCTGCATGCAGGTTAAGTGCACCCGTGTCGTGCAATGCCTGCAGAGGTCAGAAGAAGCTGTCGGATCTCCTGGGACTGGAGTTACGGACAGTTGTTAGCTGCCATGTGGGTGCTGGAATTCAAATCCAGGTCTTCTGCAAGAACAACCAGTGTTCTTAACCACTGAGCCATCTCTCCAGCCCTGATACCTCATATTTTTATTGTCATTGTAGCTCTCAATATTGTTTAATGTGTTTTCTTCTTTGACTCAATTTATCTCTCAATATATTCTAAATTTTCTTTGTTTTTTGTTTTGTTTTGTTTTGCTTTGCTTTGCTTTTTGTTTTTTTTGTGTTTAGGCAAGGTCTCCCTTGGTAGCCCCAGCTGGCCTGGAACCTGCTATGTAGACCAGGCTGACCTCAGTCTCAAGGATATGCCTGCCTCTGTCTCCCAGGTGCTGGGATTAAAGGTATGTGCCACCACGCCTAGCCTAAAATTTCTTTTTTTTTTAATTTATTATTCTTTTTTGTTTTTCTTCTTTTTTTAATATTTATTATTATTTATTTTATGTATATGAGTATATTGCCTGCATGTAGGTAGATGGACCTGAGTCATGCAATGCCTGCAGAGGTCAGAAGAGAGCGTCAGAGCCCCTGGAACTGGAGTTACAGTCCATTGTTAGCCACCATGTAGGTGCTGGGAATCAAACCCAGGTCCTCTGCAAGTGTAGCCAGTGCTCTTAACCACTGAGCTATCTCTCCAGCCCCAAGATTCTTTAAGTTTATTTTTTATTTTGTATATATGTGTGGGTATGTGCACATGAGTTCAAGTGCCCATGGAGGGCAGAGGCATTGGATCTCCCTGGAACTGGAGTTACAGGCAGTTGTAAACTGCCTGATATGGAAGCTGGGAATCAAACTCAGGTCCTCTGCAAGAGCAGTAAGTATTCTTAACCATGAAGCCATCTCTCCAGCGCCAACATATTCTAAAATTTCTACAGGGTTTTCCTATCTTTTTTTAAAATTATTCCTATCTTTGTTATATCACAGTTAGAAATGATCTCTCTGAACTAATCCCTTGAAATATGTTGATACTTGCTTTAATGAGACAGAATGACCTAACACCCCACCCCCACCCCCCACCACAGTCTATGAGGATGGTTGGGAGATACACCCCACCCCGCCCTGCCCCCCTATGCTGCAACATTAAGTCCTAATAAAGGCTTCTTCTGAATGACTTTTTTTTCCCTACTTGTACAGGTAAGGCATGGTGGGCTGACTAACAAGATGAACAAGCAAAACACTGGGGTTTCCAGTCAGCCAGGCAGCCAAAGAATAACCTAGAACAGTCTCTACCCTAAAGCTCAGAGCTTTGCCACCCAGAGGCTGAGAGTGTAGGGCCCTGGCACCTGGAGTTCTGAGATACAACACTAAGGGCCAAAAGAGTTTGTCTGAAGGCTTCCAGAAAGGGCAGAAAGTTCAAGAAGCCAGGGATGCCAGGCATGGTGCACAGCCTTTAATTCCAGCACTCAGGAGGCAGAGGCAGGCGGATCTCTGAGTTCGAGGCCAGCCTGGTCTACATAGCAAGTTCCAGGACAGATGGGGGACTACAGGGAGACCCTGCCTCCAAAAAAAAAACACAAATAAAAATATAATTTTTTATTAAAAAAAGCAGCAGCTACAGATGACAGGTGTTGAGAAGGCAGGGAAGCTAGACCCGCAAAAGATGAGTCTTGGAAGAGCCAACTGCGCGGGCTGAGACGCTGAGAACTTCAATTGCCAGAATATTTCAATAGATCCACCAAGAGAAGTGGGTCCTGCACTTGGGGCTCAGGAGCTGTAGTAAATACCCACTGGTGGCCATGGCCCTCAGCCTGCAGCAGCAAGCCTCTCCCTAGAGCAGCAAGCCTCTGGCTCGGGAAACTTGCAGCCTTAAGCCTCGTAAGCCTCTGGGTGTGGAAACGGCCCGCCAACAATAAGAGAGTTGGGCCTCGCCTCTCTGACTCTGTGATTTCTATCCAGATGGAGCAAAAGAGCCCCCAGCCAGCTCGTCGTAACATAAAGGCTTAGGCTATCACCAGTTTTCATAAATACTCCTTTGTGCGTGGTTAGAAAAAGTCTGTATTCCAGTTACATTGTGTATGTCTAGTGAATCAGCATGTTGGCAGATTTTTCAAATTTTCTATGTCTTTGTGTTGCTTTATCAGTTCTTGAGACGTGTATTTTTACTCCCATTATGATGACAATGAATTTGTTCATTTCCCCCTCATAAGTATCCTAATGTTCATTATCTATTCTGAGACTATTAAATGCAAATTTAGAATTTGTGTATATTTTACTGAACTGAAACTTTAACCAGGACCTCTATCTGATCTCTGTGCAGTAATAATTTTTGCCTTAAAGTCTGTTTTCTTTTCAACTTTTTACTATATTTATCGTGAGGCTGTGTATGTGTGTGTGTGTGTGTGTGTGTGTGTGTATCCACACGCATGTGTACACATGTCATGGTGCAGGTGTGGAGGTTAGAGGACAGTTTGGAGGAATTAATGCTCTCCTTCCACCATGTTGGTTCTGGTGATCAAATCAGGTCTTTACCCACTGAGCCGCCCCTGGCCGTGGGTTACTGGTTTAAAATTGGAGTGGCTCTTGTTTGGTTTTCATCTTTGCTTTTCTTCCTCCATTTTCCTCTCTCTTCCACCAGTTTGGAAGATCCTCACTGGGTCCCATTCATTTTGTGCCACATGAAAAAAGAGGCAGGGGTGTAAGAGACCTGCCTTTGAGCTTGGGTCGGAGCCCCTTGGGTCCGAGGAGCTGGAGAGCTGGCAGGAGGCACTACATCACCAAAGTTGGAAGAAAAACCCTGTGATGGAGAAAAGTACTCTCTCAGCACTGGGACACAGAGAGTGCAGTGTGCATTCTGCTCCGGATGTGGATGAGGACAGAGCAGGGAAGCTGCTGTGGAGCCGGACATCAATCCTGACCAGGGCTGCAATGGGCAAGATTGTGTGTAGACAGCCCACCGTGGAAGGAAACATTTGCAACCAAATGAAAGGACAGCATGGTCCTATGGAGGGAAGGGCAGTGAGTCAGGGGATTTCTGGGGAACCCACAAAGCCCCCTTCAGAGAAAACAGTCACCGTGAACATCACCCAATCCCAACCAGCAATAAGATCAACTTTGGAAGATGGCACCTTGCCTCAGCAACTCTGATAAGGGCTGGGTAGCAAGCATATGGGTCCCAGGGCCGGCCATACCCCCAAACCCCTAAGGCCTAAAGCAATGTTTGAACCACGTGACCCTGAGCCATCAGGCAAAGCTAATCCACTTAATGGAAGTCACCTGACCCAAGGCAGTCAACGGGTAGACTGAGCTTGCATGAGCACATTGAACCAATCAGTTCTCTCAGAGAACATAGAGCTGGGCTTGTGACAATGAGCTGAGGTGAGATTGGGTGGGTGGAAACAGCAGGTCAGAGGTGAGAGAGCCAGAATGTTGGGGAGGTGGGAGAGACAGGCAGAAGGCCCTGGAAAGAGGAGAGAAACCCAGAGGCTTTAGGAAGGCTGAGGAAAGCAGAAACTGAATTTTCTGAGGAAGAGGACTTTTCAATGGCTTCCTCTTTTAAGTGTGTGTATATGTGAGTGTGTGTGTGTGAGAGAGAGAGAGAGAGAATATTTGCATGTGAATATGAGTGGGTGTGAATAGGGGGGTGTGTTTGTGGGTGAGTGTAAGTGTGGATGTGTACACACTTGCGCACCCATGCTGGGGATTGAAACTTGGGCCTCAAGCAGTCATGCAAACACTCTACTACTGAGCTAGAGGATTTTTTTCAAACTCCACGGAACATGTGGACTCCAGCTCCTGAGTCTTAAGATGTCACTCTGGATCAAATTCCAGGCAAGAGTCCTGGCTATCTGATGGTTTCTGTTTCTGTGGACCTAAGGCAGTCAATATCCTAACAAACAGAAATGCCGTCACTTGAGATGATAAATGTTGGAAATATTCTGCAACACAGAAAAAGAAAAGCCAGGGAAGAGCATCCTGGGAAGGAACCCAGCTGTTCCCTCCCCAGACTTCACACCAGGAAGCGGCTCCTGTACCATTCCTTCTAGAACAATCCCCCTCTTGTGCTTTATTGTGTTCTGTGAAAGTTAAGCCTAATTAGAAAACAGTGAAATCCACAAATCAAACCCAAACTCTGTAGCAAAAGAAGATCCCTTGCTGCATAACGCCATTCCTGGCCGGCCAGTCATTTCCTCTACTGCTTCTGTTTCTTGTTTCTTGAGAACATGACTCCGATGAGGCCCAAGACTGCCAAGCCCACTCCAGCAATGCCTGCCGCCATAACTGCATCTCTGACCTGCAACAGACAAGGGGTGAGTGAGGCTGTGTGTGCCCCACGTGGGAACAGGCTGTTCATGGAACAGGATCTCCCAGCTCCTGGCACTTCATGTGCCCCTTCACCTCCAGTGGCCAAGTCAACAAACATTGTCAGGGAGAGTGGAGGAGAGGGCTGGATGGAGAAAGGAACTGTGGATGGAGCCAGCTGGCCCGGAATATCCATGGGCCAAAATGGGAACCTGGGTTAACCCTGTGGCTATTTAAAGCATGTAAATCTTCACAAGGTAGCTGTGGAAAAAATGAAGAGATGATGTCAGAATGTCAATATCCTGGCCAACTGTGCGCAAGTGTGAAGACAGAGAGGAACTGCAATTGAGAACTCAATGAAGTCTGATCTCGGTGAGGAGGACCTCACTTCATCTTGTGTCCCCATTGTCTGGTCCTGTCAAGCCTGAAAGAGCTCCCTTTAAAGGGTGGCTTTTTATTGTTGCTGTTGTTTGCTTGTTTTTGTCTTTTGAAATCAGGGTCTTCCTGGGTAGCACTGTGAACTCAAGATCCTCTTGCCTCAGCCTCCTGAGTGCTGCAGTTAAAGGCACACCACCTGTTCTAGTTTGATTCTCCATTGCTGTGACAAAATACTCTGACCAAAACCAACTTAGGGAGGAAAGGGTTTATTAGGCTTACATCTCCCAGGTCACAGTTCATCCGGAAGCCCAAGGTAGGAACAGGGCAGGAACCTAGAGGCAGGAGCTGGAGCACAGGCCATGGGGGAAAGCTGCTTGCTGACTTGCTCCCCTGGCCCCTGCTTAGCCTGCTTTCTTATGCAACATAGGCCCACCTGCCCAGGTGACACCACCCACAGTGGGCTGGCCCCTCCCACATCACACAATAATCAAGAAGATGGCCCACAGACATGGCCACAGGCCAGTCCAATGGAGACAACTCACCAATTGAGGTTCCTCTACACAGGTGTGTCAAGTTAACAACTAAAGCTATCCAGCATACCTCCACAATTCACTTTTTCTTTTCATGGACCCTGGTGTCCACTAGGGAGGCAGAGTCAAAACACAGTAGTTGGGGAATGGAGAGATGGCTTGGCAGTTCAGAGTGCTTACTACTCTTACAGAGGACGTAGATTCAGTTCTCAGCACCCACATCAGAAGGATCACAACTGCCTTTAACTCAAGGTCCAGGGGAGGCTGACATTTTCTGGCCTCAGTGGGCCCCTATGTCATGTACATGATGCACATAAACTTTGTGGGCATACACACATAAATAAGAATAAAAAAATACAGCATGGAGAGATGGCTCAGCGATTAAGAACATTGGTTGTTCTTGAAGAAGACCCAGGATCGAATCCCAGCACTCACATGGCAGCTAACAACTGTCAGTAACTCCAGTCCCAGGGGATCAGACAGCCTCTTCTGACCTCCTAGAGCATTACATGACATGGGTGCACTTACCTACATGCAGGCAATACACACATACGTATAAAATAAAAATAAATAAAACTTAAAAATATATATCCATCATTTCAAAAAAGAAGAATAGCCAGGCGTAGTGGTGCACGCCTTTAGTCCCAACACTCAGGAGGCAGGGGCAGGGGATCTCCATGAGTTCAAGGCCAGCCTGGTCTCCATAGTGAGTTTCAGGCCAGCTGGGGCTACAGGGAGTCCCTGACTCAAAAAAACAAAAACAAAAAACAAAAAAAGAATAAATAAAATAATTTGTGCTCTGTTTCCCTAGGCTGCACAACCCACCAGCCTCTCTCCCTGGAGCCCTGTGGACCTGGTCCTGCCCTCACCTCCCTTTCCTTCCCTGGCTCTGCACAACCTGCTGGCCTCTCTCCTGGATAAATCCACCATACCCTCCATGCCTTGAATCCCCCAGCCTCATTCACTCTCCCATCTCCCCCACCCGTCTCTCCTCCTAGCCTGGGTCCTGTCCCATTCCTTATCTTGGCACCCCAGACACCGGGGAAACCACCACTGCTTCCTGATCCTTTGCATCCAGAACAGAGGTCCCCAGGAGCCCTCTGGGCCTGGTCCCACCTTCACCTCCCTCTGCTTCCCTGGGCTACACACCCCACCAGCCTCTTTCCTGGATGCTGGGGCTGACCTTTTGGCTTCCTGATCCTTTGCATCCTGACCAACCAAGTTCCTCAGTGCAGTCCCCAGGAGCCCTTGGGGCCACTTTCTGCCCCATCTCCCTTTGCATATCTGGGTGGCATGGCGACCAGCTGCCAGAGACCAGCATCTTTCCTGGGCCTGGCTCCCAGGCCAGTCCAACCCCCCAAATTCCTGAGGCCAAAATCTATCCTGGAGGGATCCAGACCTTAGGAGAAAGCCTGAGAGCATCTGATCCTCATCTGACTTGGGCCTCTGTGGGAACTCCTGAAGACAAAAGCAATCTGGCCACTCCAATATAAAATCAAAAGAGAGAACCAGAAGCTTAGAGGAACCAGTTTTTCATGCCCAAAATGTAAACCACAAAGACACATTAACTTCATGAAAAGAAGCAGACATAAACTTGAAGGCTTGAGTCTCACAAAAGAATCAGAAACTACAAAAGAATTCACATGTCAAAATCACAGAGAAAAAATAATAACATGAAAAACCAAAATAACATATCCCCACCAAATACCAATAATCCTCTA